AGTTTGTTTATTGATGGTTCCTCTGGCTTGGTGGAAGGGAAAAGAAGGAACAGATATACTGTCATTAATGGGGAGCAAGAATCCTTGGTTGAGGCGGGAAGTTTACTGAAAAATTGGTCTGCCCAAATATGTGAACTATATGCCTTAAATAGGGCGTTAAAATTATTAAAAGGGAAAGAGGGCAACGTTTATACTGATTCAAAGTATGCCTGGGGAGTAGTACATATTTTTGAGAGAATCTGGGAGGAAAGGGGGCAAGGTTATCTGCTCTGAGAAGAGAACTTGTTGGGATTGTGCAGTTCCTAGACAATGAATTTAGTTGGCTGAGAAGTTGCCAGTTTATGTTCAGTAGACAGAAATGATTTTTGATGATTGGCTTTTACACCAGGGCAAGTTTAAATTTGAGAAGGTAAGATGTAAAGTGAGATCTCCTATGTATGTGAGTCCTGGTAAGGACTTACTGCTTATTGCACCTCCATGAGAGTAAAAGTAACTATATCTGGCTTTAAGCTGTGATTGGTGAGACTTGCTGTTTGGGGAAAAAGGCTTTTGGGACTATAACTAATTTTGTTTTGAGTTTGAATTTGGGTATAATTGTCTGCATTAAATCAGTATCTGAGAGAAATGCCACAAGAACAGGTGGAGGTCTATTTAGAGGAAACGTGATTTATTTGGGAAAAAAACTGAGGGGACAATCTTAGCCTCAATCTAGGATGGGATCTTCCTGGCTCAGTTTCCCCATTGTGTTCCTTTGGAAAGGAATGTTTCCCTCCTATTTCTGAGTCTGGCTATGAGATGGAACAGATACTGCATGATTGGAGAACTGTGACTCCATCTGAATTTAAACAAAGCTAAGGCTGTTTTATCCTGTCATACATGATACATTCCATGTCCCTGCTCTTTTTCCTTCTGTAGTAAGTTTTTATAATCAGAAGATTTAACAAATTTACTAAAATAATTGATTATGGAACATCTTGGGTTATTATAGAACTGGGACTGTGTTCTGGTATGAGTTAGGGTCTTTTTGATTCTTGGTAATGGTATAGAGATAGTCAGGGGCTTGTGAGAATGTTATTTTGTTATTTGGATAATATCATACTCGTCTAAAGTTTTGTTACCATTGATTAATAATGTTAAAAGAAGAATGGCTTGTGGCAGTGCCATCAAAGAAACAAGGCATGACTAAAATTTTAAGATTTTATATACATACTGTGTTAAAAATTGATATGTATGTACTGGAGCCTGTGATTAGTTCCATAGTGAAGTCTCATCCCCCTGGTGAGGAAATTAACTATGGATTAATGTAAAGTACAAGACACTGGGTTCTGATGTGAATTTCTTAAACATGACAATTGGCCATGGTTCCAATTTTGAGTCTGTGAAATGATCAGGGTTATAAAGATTAGAAAAAGCAATTTAAAATTGTGCTAAGGTCCCTTTTATAGGAGAATGGACAGAAAGCTGGTTCCCACAAGAAGACAAGAGGAAGATGCTGAGATGCCGTGCTGGAGATGGCAGGAGCAAATAACCAAGGACAAGAGGACTTCATTGATGGTGTTCCCGGCTAGACAGCTGTATCTGCATGTATAAAGGAACTACTTCTTTGACTTGTCAATGTTTAGACTGATGCCTATATTTACTGAAAGGGGTGATGGTTAGAGAGAGAAGAAAAAGAGAGAAGACTTTGAATTATTTAATGTGATTATGAAGGATACCAAGAGTGCCAAGTGTTAAAGATATCATAAGAATGATAATTTCTATATGTGATGATACGAAGATGCAGTTGATGGTATCTGAAGTTTGTAGTTTATATTATGAAAGTTATTGTTTCTAAACTGTACTGTGTTTTTAAAATTCTTAGACTGTAAAATTTGACAGGAATTATTGTCCTACTCCTGGTATGTCTCCCCACAATGCAACTAATTCGACCTACATTCTTCTTCCTCCTGGGAAAAGGAGGCAAACATCTGGGGGTACAAGTATATGATGATTTAAAAGGAACAAGCGAGCCATTGATTCCTCTATTGCTAGCTGGGGAAATGCAAATGGATGGGGAGATACTTGGCCCCCTGAAAGGATCATAAAGGAATATGGACCTGCTACTTGGGCACAAGATGGGAGCTGGGGATATCGGACCCCAATATATATATATATATATATATATATATATATATATATATATATATATATATATATATACATATATATATATATATACATATACACATGTATATATATACATATACACATGTATATATATACGTATATATATATACATATATATGTATATATGTATATATATGTATATATACATATATATATACATATATACATATATATACACATATATATACATATATATACATATATGTATACATATATATACATATATGTATACATATATATACATATATATATATATATATGCTTAACAGAATAATTAGACTCCAAGTGGTGGTGGAAATTACTAATCAAACTGCTATGGCTACTGACCTCTTGTCGGTTTTTGTAGACCAAAGCAGGGAAGCTATCTTACAACACAGGTTAGTCTTAGATTCTCTCTTAGCTGAGGAAGGAGGTGTCTGTGGAAAACTGAACCTGTCCACTTGCTGTATGAAAATAGATGACGTGGGACAAACCATGAGAGATATTAATAAAGAAATTCGAAAGATGGCCCATGTTCCAGTTCAGACCTGGTCCTCTTCATTTAATACTCCCTGGTGGTCCTGGTTTGGGGGATCTTGGTGGAAACAGGTATTACGGTTTTTGTTAATAGCAGTAAGTAGAGTCATACAACTCCCACTGTGTGTCCCTTGAATGGTGCAGTTAATTACTACTACTGTGCAAAAGACCCTTTCTAGAATGATTAACCTGTCAGTGAGTCTATTAGACTAATGATATTAAGGAATCAAGGGTAGATGCCAGGCAATCAGGAGGAAGGAAGGTCCAATTTTGATGAAATAGCAAATAGGGAAACTGAAAAAACTTACCAGTTTTGGTGTGAGAAACTTTCAACTATGAAATAAGAGAACTGTGTGGGACAAGTGAAAGTTTCTCATGTGAGATGTAAGCTATGCTCCAAAAATGTAGTAAGGCTTCAGCATGAGCTGGGCCTAAGTTTCACTTTTGTTTTTGGGGAATGGGGTTGTGCACCAGCTGCCCACCTCCTTCCCTCTTTTGTTTTGCACCATATCTTTACCAAATAAGGCAATCTTCTAGCTCCCAAGGTTGTTTTGAGTAAAATGTATCTCTTGGGTTCTAAATATAGACTGCGAGGTCTCTTGCCTCAACCAATGAGGATGAAGAGACTGAGACAAACAAGTGGGGAGGGGAGCTTCTTGGAGTGATTTGTCTAAGAGTATATAACTGCTTGCTGCTGTTTGTGCTTGGCCTCACTACTCCAGTCTGCCCTGGGTAGGTGACGCCTAACTCTCGTGTAAGACTTGCTAAAATAAAACCTTCTGTTTTCTACTTGGAGAAACCTCTGAGTTTTTATTTGGGTAAGTGGTCTCAATCCCACTCAGTAATATATTCCATGTTGTTCAAGTTTTCTTTGTAATATTTGTCTTTATATCTAGGTCATGTATCCATTTTGACCTTATCTTGGTAAATTAAGTAAAATACTGGTCTATGCCCAATTTCTGCCAGACTGCTTTCCACTTTTCCCAGTAATTTTGCCAAATACTGCATAGCAGTCTTAAAGCAAGAAAAGGTTAGGATAGATAAAATATACACATCAGGACTGACGAAGCATGGTGTGATGGCAAGGGCAGTGGACTGGGATCTGGAGGAGCTAGGTCAGGGTCCTGGCCCTGACACTCACTACCAGATTCTGACCAGATGAGTTCACCTCACCCCACACCTCAGTTTCATAATTTGCAAAATGAGAGCATTAAGCTAACTGGTCTCTAAGATCTCTTCTAGCTCTAGATTATGAGGTCGACTTGCACAGAGATTCAGCTTTTATCAGGAGTCTTTTGGTAAATCCTCACGTCATCACAGAACCATATTTTAAAAATTGCTGAACATTTTATCCCATACATTTCTTTCTTAATTTGGAGAGTGGAGAGGACACCGAGGCCATAACTGTGCTGGCTCCAAACAATGCATGTCTCTGTCACATTGTGTAGCCCTTGGCCCAGATTAGTCACTACAGAGCACAAAGATAAGAGTGATTAGTCAGAATAGCTCTGTGAAGGACTACATACTTTAACAAGCTTGGAACACAATTTCCCTCCACAACTAGGGCAACCATCAGAGAAAAAAAGAAAAGGAGCTTAGGGAGGAGTCCCAGGTTTACTTGACCTCTCAGATAAAAACATTATTTATAGTTGTAGAGACCAAGTATTAAGTGGGAGGACTGTTCAGATTGGTCGCTTTTGTCCTCACTTTACTTTTAGAGAGAGTGTGTATCTGTGTTTTTTCCAGGGCGGCTCTTGGTACACAGGACATTCCCACTACCCCTGTTCCAGTACTGCTCCGTTATGTGTAAGACAGATTTTAAATTACATATTTATAGCTGTAATCAATTGGACACAACTCCATTACTAATTTGATTTTTTAAAAATACCTTTTCCAGGGGCAGCTAGGTGGCGCAGTGGATACAGCAGTGACCCTGAAGTCAGGAGGACCTGAGTTCAAATCCAGCCTCAGACCAAACACTTCACACTTACTTAGCAGTGTGACCCTGGGCAAGTCACTTAACCCCAACTGCCTAAAAAAAAAAGGAAATTAAAAATACCTTTTTCCCTTATTAAACATAATTCATTTGCTCATTGTTTTTGTGTATTTTTGATGTATTATTTCTTTGTATGTTAATTTTATGTCTTTTAGTTTCCTAAGACAAGTATATTCCCTTTTCTACACCACTGACATTTGAGAATATTTTATGTAACTATACAAGTTCACATGTATATGTGTGTGTGTGTGTGTGTGTGTGTGTGTGTGTGTGTATATATATATCATATATATATATGTGGATATAGATAAGAGATATTAAACAGATTTACTAAAGATATTTTAATAGCAATTGCAAGGTAAAACATGAATTTTCCATCTAATAACCTCCCCATGTGATACAGATTCTGAAAGTATAAATACAATATATACATTATATGTTTAAAATATTTTCTGAAATCAATACTTTTTCTTCCTTTTTACACACTGGAAGGAAGATGATTCCTCGGTTATAACCTCAGAAGTTCATCCAAAGTTCTAACAGAAGATTCATAAAGAGATCTGAAACAAAGAAAAAAAAGATTTAGTGGCAGAACAGTAAATAAGTAATCACTAGATGTGAAATAAAAAAACTAAGAGAATTTATTATAGGACTTTTAATCTTATTTTTATTAACATCATCTGTTTTTACATCACCTTCATTTTTTTTTTAGTATGTCCTTCACCCCTCTCCTACCGTGACAGCCTTCCCAAGGAAGAGAGGAGGAAAAAGACTAGTTCAGCAATACCAATTAACACACTACTTTATCTGACAATTATCCACCATACCCATAGTTCTTCATTTGTTCAAGGACAGAAAAGAGGTAATTTTTTTTCAACTCTTCTCTGGGACCATACTTGATCATTATAATTACAAAGCATTCAATGTTGTGGTCTTTTTTTCTTCCTTCAATTTACATTATTGTAGTCATTGTGCATCTCATGCCGTGCTGCTTCATGTCTTCTCAGGTTTCTCTGGATTCTTTATATTATTAATTTCTTATCAAACAGTAATATTCCACATATAACCATGTGTTTAGCTAATTTCTAATTAATGGGTATTTCCTTTGTTTCCAATTCTTTGCTACTGCAAAAAGTGTTACTGATGAATATTTTAGTGTATATAGGACATTTTTGTCTTTAACTTCCCTGGGGCTCATGCCTGGCAGAGAGATCTCTGGGCCAAAGGATATGGGCATTTTAGTCACTTTATTAAATAATTCTAAATCGTTTTTCAAGAGGATTTAACTAATGCATAGTTTCACCAACAGTGTATTATCATGTGACTATTTTCTGAAGCTTCTCTGATAGTAATTATTCCCATATTTTCTTATTTGTCAATTTGCTGAGAGTGAGATTTATATTTCTCTTACAAAAGTGATTTATATCTTTCATATGGCTGATAATAGTTTGCATTTCTTTTGAAAACTGTTTATTCATTTTGTTCAAGCACAAGATTTTCCATTGCATATAATTAGAATAACCTACTTTTTTTTTGTTCATCCCTTGTTCAGTTAAGATTTTCACTGCCCACTTCCAACTCCCCACTATAACTGCGAGAAGTACTCGATCTAGGTTCTACTGTTTTGATGGTGTGACCTTTTATATTCAGATCACATTTCATTTCTTGTTTACCGGGGTATCCATTGTAAGATGTTCTAAACCTAACTACTGCCAAACTATTTCCCCAACAATGGTCTTTCTCCAAATAATTTATGTTCTCTTGTTTAAAGAACACTAAGCTTTTGTTACAGATTATTTCTGATTCTTCCTTATCTACTCTTCCATTGATCTATTTTTGTGTTTAATCCATAGTTAACCAATATCAAAAAGTTGTTTTTTTATTATTGCTTTAAAATATAATTTGAGGCCTAGAAGTGATATTTTTCCTTTATTCCTAGTTCTGTTCTTTTATTTCCCTTGAGATTGTAGGACTTTCTGGAAATGCATTTTGTTTCTCCAAATATATTGTCTTACTCTTTTGTTTAGCTTTATTAAGGTATCACTTTGGTAATTTTTGTCTCCATTAAAGTGTTAGCCCATCAATCATGAGCATCCAATTATTATGAGCATTTTTAAAACATCTACTATATACGAAGCACTTTGCTAAATAATGGGGAAATACCTACTCAAAAGTCTTTTTAAGAAGGAGAAAAGTAAGTACATAGTGCATACAGCATAAATATTAAGTAAATAAAATAAAAACAAAGGAGTTTAATACAAAGTAGTTAGGAAGGGAGAGCACTAAGAGGTGGGGGAATCAGGAAAGGCTTCAAATAGAAGATGGTACTTGAGCTTCCTCTTAAAAGAACAGACTGGGGGGGGGCGGGGGAGGCGGAAGTAGCAGCTAGGTGGCGCAGTGGATAGAGCACAGGTCCTGAAGTCTGGAGTACCTGAGTTCAAATCTGGCCTCAGACTAGACACCTGACACTCACTAGCTGTGTGACCCTGGCCAAGTCATTTAAACCCAATTGCCTTAAAAAGAAAAATATAAAAGAACAGAGGGACTCTGAAGCAGTGAGAAAAATGGACAAACTGAAACCCAGGCATGCGGGCTAAGCAGTTAAAAGATACAGAGACAAAGTTGGAGTGTCACTTATGAATTATGGAGAGAAGTAAAGTTTGGCTGGATCACAGAATACACAGAGGAAGAGTAATGCCCAATGAGGCTGAAAAGACAAGTTTCTGTCAGGTTGCTCAGGGCTTTAAAAGCTAAACAGAGGAGTTTATATTTTATCCCAAAGGCAATAGGAAGCTCCGGAAATTGATGAGTTGGGGAGTCACACAGTCAGATTTGTGCTTTAGAAGCACTTTGGCAGCACTTTAGAAGACAGGCTGCAGGGAAAGACTTGAGGCACTGAGATCAATTAAGAAGTGGTTGCAATAATCTAGGCAGGAGGCAATAAAAAACTAAGCAAAGGTGGTAACAGTCAGTGGAGAGAAGAGGTAGATTTTGAGAAATGTTGTGAAGGTAGAAACAGCCAGATGTGAAAAGTGAATAGATATGTGAGGTGAGGAAGTACAAAGATTCAAAGTACAAAGCTAGGAGGCTAGGAAGATGGTTGTGCCTTTGACAGAAATGAGGATGTTTGGAAGAAGGGAGGGTTTGGGGGAAACACACTGAAATCATTTCTGGACATTTTTAGTGAGACTTTTGGAGAACATCCAATTTGAAATGTCCATTAGGAAACTGGTATTAAGTGATTCATGCTCTTGGAAGGCACCAAGCATGGATATATAGATCTATGAGTTATCTGCATAGAGACAACAGTTAAGACCAGCTAACTTGATGAGGTTACCAAAACAGAAAGTGTAGATGGGAGAAAAGAAAGGTTAGGACAGAACCTCGGGGAACATTCAGTTAGGGGTGTGATGCAGATGAAAAGCCAGCAAAAGAGGCTGAAAAGGAACAATCAGAATGACAGAATAAAGAAAGAGTGTGTTTTGAAAACCCAGAGGAGTGATTAACAGTGTCAAATGCAGCAGGTAGTAGGACAGAACTGAGATGGAGAAAAGAATCTGTTGAGTTTTGAGAGAGGAACATGAAATCACTTAAAATTATTGTTACTATGTCTTTTTGCAATTTGTTATTTTCCTCTATAGATTTAGGCAATAAGGCACGTGGCATATATGTTTAATATTCACATTGGCTTACTCTTTACAACTGCTTTAAATATATAACATAAGCTACATGTTTATGCATCTGGGTATAGTAAATTCTTGTTTTAGCATTAGAACTCATTCTTTGGCAATCACTTGATGCACAGTAGATTTTGTTTCAGCTTCTCATCTTTTTTGTCTATCCTTAAAAATTTATTTCTTTTCTACAGTAGATTGTTGGGGGCGGGGGGGGTGGAGTTCATTCTGCAAATCTCATTTTATTTGGGTTATTTACCCCATTCAATTTTAAGCTGTGATTAGAGACTAGCCAAGATATCAGGATAGGAAGAAGCAATGAAGCTTGGCTCCCCAGACAACCTCATGAACAAAAGTCTCATGAATGATTAAGGAGAAACCACAGAGGATCATCTTTCCAGCAAAAATCATAAATTTTACACACATGCAAATAATCCAGGGCAGAGTGTGTGGGACAGGGTCAGGATCACGAATGCAGATCTGGGGAACAGGATATGACTGCAGTGCTGTCACTCTGACCCAGAGTGGGGATTAGTATCTTTGACTCAGACACAGAACCACAGTTCTGTTACTAGATCCTAGGTGGAAAGGACCTACCACAGCTCCCAAATATAGCAGACCTCAGAACTATTGCTCTAACACAGGAGAGAGGAATTAGAGCCAAATGTTGAAGGAGACAAGGACTCAGATGTTAGGAGAGGAGACCTTGGAGCCAGGTAACAGCTGAAGAACAAAGGCCAGTGCTAAAGCTCTGACTCTGGAGGGGAAAACTAAGACGTAGCTCCCAGGAGCAGAGACTTTGATGCTGTTGCTGCTGTCCCTCTAACCAAGGTGAGGGAATCTTGAAGCTAGATCCTGGAGGGAGGAAAAGGGCCACTATTTGCTGCTTTAGTCCTTAAGAAGAGATCTCATAGCACACAATGGTAACAGAATAGGGCCCCAGTGCTTCACTAACCCAGGAAAGTGAATTTTCTAAGTCACACCCTAGGGCTTCCAGCTTGGATCCTAACAGCAGGACAGCAGCCAGGTCAGCACCATACAATGCCACACCAGTCTGCCAAAAGTGCATAAAGCCTAGCCCTAAAATAAAGTCCCAATCTTGGAAGGAAGGTTAGAAAGATGAGTAAACCCCCCAAAATATACAAAGACCTAGAGTGATGCAAGGAATCTCCAATATACAAATCCATAAGAAAATAACTCCAAAATAGTTAAAAACAAAGCCTCAAAGAAACACAGCTTGACCACAATTTTAATTAAAATTCCTAGGAAAAAAAGTTTTAAAAAAGAGAATAAAAGTAAAATTCTGAATGAAATAACAAAGCTAGAAGAAAAAAAAATTGGAAAAGAAACCTGAGTTATTTGGAAAAAGACTTGGAAGGAGAATAAACAGAAACAGGATAACATACACAATGACTACAATTTAAATGGAAAGAAATAAACCGTGAATGCTGAGTAAAGTCCAAATTTGTCCCTAGAAAAAAGTTGAGAGCACGTAACTCTCTCCTGTCAATGGAGAAGTAGAGAATTTTGGTTATGGAATATGTGCCATATTGTCACACATGCTAATGTTCTGATTAATTTTAAAGAGCTTTTTTCTCTTTTTAAAAACATGTTTGTTACCAGGCTCTCTGGAATGAATATATTCAGAAGTGAATGTGATGTAAAAATAAAAAGGCATCAATTTCTTTTAAAAATTAGTTTATATCAACAACATCAAAAGGAAAAATGCCACTTCTGAACCCAAATTTACATAACTACAATATACTGTAGTTTCAAGACTATTAGAATAGTTTTCTGAATCTTACACATACTGGCTGGGTGACCCTAGGAAAATAACTTACCCTTTTAGTGTCCTCAGGCAACTCTCAAAGACTGTTACAGAGAAG